TTTTCTTCACATTGATTGTACGATTATCGTACAATCAATGTTTGCCACAGTATTACTGTGGCAACGAAAGCTCATTCAGAGTTCAAAGATGTCTCATTTTTAGGAAGAAACATTTTTCTTCGAACTAAGCGAATCTCGATATTTGATAGATTTACAGATGTATGTCGCAACGATATTATGATCTTATCGATGAAATATGTCCACCTCAACAAAAATGGACAGATGTTGAATATTTTCAAATGCATGAAATGTTTGATAAACTAATCAAATTAGCATTTGAATATTCAAAAAGATTTGAATCAAATGATATGGCATTTTTAAGTGAATATTTAATATTAGCATTACAGTTAATTGGAGTTGAAAAACAATTAATAGATATTATATGGTAGTAATACTAGAAAATGGCTTCTTTACGGCTTGTCCGAGTAATGCCGTACGTGCGCTACGTTTTGTTTACAGATGTAACATTATTAACATAGAGACCAAGTCGTACGAATAGCGCCTCCCATTTCAAGCTTATATACTAACCTATCAAAATTTGCTTTTTTATCAAATCAAACAACAATGTTTACTCCCGAAAATGAGATGTCTTGCAACTGTGTATAAATTTTCTCTAAAATGCTGTGATCTTGTCAAAAAGTAGTGCAGTTACGAAAACGTTGAATGTTAGTCGGACAGACTGTATAGTTTTAATATATCTAATACTTTTGTCTCATCGTTAATTGACATTGTGCTTCATCTTTTTAGTTTGAACATTTGTGATCTTAATCTAATGTACGTCGTTTGTTTTTACTTTTAGGAGCATTATTTCTCAATCGTCAAGATATTGTTTTATTAGAGAGTCGTTTAGTACCTCAAGCGAATTTTTTACTATTACAAAATGAAAACCATCTATGGTTAGTACAATCATTATTAACAACAGCATCAGCATTTGAACTATTAGAGGAGAAAATATTACGTATATTTCCACTTCGACAATTAGCATCAAATATGAATTTAGTAGAAGAACAATTTTTTCTCAAATTAATTATTACATCGTCGTTTAATTGTGTTCGAGATTTGATTTCACGTACAAGAATTCGAGTATCAAAAGAAAAGGCACGAAATATGTTTGGTGTTGTTGATGAATATGGTGTATTAGAACCTAAACAAGTATTCATTCAATATTCGCGTATGCATACATCAAAATTAGATGAAAATAGCCAAAATAAATATTCAAGGTCTGATAATGAGGAAATAGTATTAGAGGTAAGTCTGACTAACAGCATGTATATCTTACTATGATGTATAATAATTTATTCTTCATCTATTCTGTTAGGGTAAAGTTATTATTACAAAAAATCCTTGTCATCATCCTGGTGATCTACGAATATTTGAAGCTGTGAATTATCCTCGGTTGCATCATCTCAAGGACGTTGTTGTTTTTCCACAAAAAGGTAGTGAATTGTATATACCGATATTTTGTCTGGTTATATATGACTGTTATATTATTATAGGTGATCGACCACATCCAAATGAAATTTCGGGCTCTGATCTAGATGGTGATGAATATGTGGTGATATGGCATGAAGATTTATTACCCAATACGATAAATCATCCCGCGTATGACTATGATTCTCAGGCAGATCCACCAAAATTGGATCGACCGGTGACACGAGAAGATATCAATAAAGTTGTGTTGGATGTTAGTGAACAAGATTGTTTGGGAACAATGTCGAATATTCATTTGGCTTATGTTGATAAATACGGTATTACAGATCCATATTGTATGTATTTAGCTGGACTCATTTCTCAAGAAGTTGATGCGGGTAAAACGGGTAAACATCCAATGTCAGAAGAAGAATTACGAGATTGTAGACGTAAATTGAATGATGAATTACCCGATTTTATGAGAAAAACAAGAACTAGTAAACAATATCCGTCAAAGAGAATATTGGGTATGCGATCTGGTTTTATACTATTGATCGCGAATCTTAGTACTTTGTATAAATGGCATTGTTTCGTGAGATTGTCACATTTGTTTTAATTTAAAATATAATGAATGTCTTTTTTTAGGTAAATTATATCGTTCGGCTTGTCGTGCCCTTCCTGGTTGGTCATGTGCTGTTCGCAACTATGGTAGTATTCGTCATGTCGATGTAGCAAATTCAATTCAACAAAACAATAAAACATCGTCGATCGATACCATGGCAACGACGAATTTTGAGGAGGAAGTAAAATCTGCCTTAATAACTCTTGATCAACTACTATATTATGGGGAACATAAAAAATATCGTTCATCAGTATTGAAACTATTTAGTTCTTATAGACAAGAATTATTAGAAATTATTAGTGTTTATCATTTTCAAGATGAAATTGATCTATTTTGTCGATGCGAATCAATGGAAAAAGCAGGAGGTAATCACAAATTTACAGTGGATTGTCTTACCTAGTGGGTTTTATTTTGTGTTCAAGGTGGTCGTCGTCCAGATGGTATTGAAGATTCAGCATCAATTGAATTTGAACTATTAATTCAACGTACTAAACTTGAATTTTATAAAGAATTTGATAATTGTCCAGCTTGTGCACATTCTCATCCTCGTAGTTGTGATTCATGTTATGATAAAAAATTATCAAAAGCGTCCACATGTTATTTTATCTGTTATGAACATGCAATGCATTTACCAGCTAAATCAAAATATCGAATTCTAAGTTTTCCATGGTTATTTGCAAGTTTACTAATGAATATTAGAAAAGTAAATCTAGAAAAAAATCCATCAATTATTGAAGAATATAAATATATTGTAGTGGGTCGAGCAATGTTGAATGCAATGACTACTCTTGTTGGAAACAAACAATTAAAATTAAAGATATATATACCAATAAATAAAGACAGTATTGTTACTCTCTTTGTAAAAAGTAAATATTTATACTTCTGTTTAATATTTCATATTGCATTTTTATTTTCTTTCTTTATTTTTAGGTTCTAGTCAAGTTTCTACAACATCTCAAACGTATGTTCGTAAAAAACAAATAGAATTAGGTGATATTAATATATTACAAGCATGTTTTGTTGAAATTTTACACAATTGGTTATTAAGACAGTCTATATTTGGTTCGATATCGTCTGATATAGATACAAAACCATTAGTACCGGAACAACTATGGCATGAATTATTACTAAGATTTTTATCTGATGATGAAAAATATTTTAATCAAGATTATCAACTTATATTTCATGATGAACAACGATTATCAAATGATATCATGTCGCAACGATATTATGATCTTATCGATGAAATATGTCCACCTCAACAAAAATGGACAGATGTTGAATATTTTCAAATGCATGAAATGTTTGATAAACTAATCAAATTAGCATTTGAATATTCAAAAAGATTTGAATCAAATGATATGGCATTTTTAAGTGAATATTTAATATTAGCATTACAGTTAATTGGAGTTGAAAAACAATTAATAGATATTATATGGTAGTAATACTAGAAAATGGCTTCTTTACGGCTTGTCCGAGTAATGCCGTACGTGCGCTACGTTTTGTTTACAGATGTAACATTATTAACATAGAGACCAAGTTGTACGAATAGCGCCTCTCAGATGTCTTGCAACTGTGTATAAGTTTGGACCTGATCTCTATTTTAACAAATGTAGTTACGAACAAGTTGAACGTCAGTCAGACAGGCCGTTTAGCTACTAGTTGTGAATTGTGATACTCTCTTTTATGTTCTACAATGATTTCGTCTGTTCATTGAGAGAAAAATCAAAGTTTCTGTTTTCTTCATTTTGTATTTTCAAATATTGTAATAAAGTCAGTTGCTATCTGCTTCTTAATATTTTATTAATTGAAAAGGCGTATTTTCCTTGTTAAGTAATATTATATTGTTGATTTTTCATTATGATTGTTTTTATTAAAAACTCACACTTTGAGGATCTGCAAAGCAGGAATATATTAGCAATTTTTTGTGAATCAACCTCTTTTCATCAATAACTGACGTTCTCTAGGCAAAACAAAATTTTATTAATAAAAAATAAACGTCAAAAAAATCATTAGTTTTTGTTTTGAAAGGTCATCTTTGCGAGACTAAAACTTTTTTCGTCGAAAATCTGTTGTTTTCTATATGGTTCGATGTAGTTTGCTGAGCTGATATTTGTTCTCACCAAAAACACTTTACTCTAATGAAAGACCTTCGACTTTTAGCTCGAAGGAAAGTACTCGTCAACATCATTCATATAATGGATTCTAGACAGCATTTCTGTAAAGTGTGACCGAAATTGGCTATTGAGACGCACTGAACTCTGAGACTTTTAAACGAGAATCACGTAGGAAAAAGCTTTTCTGGTTTTAGTATACTGTTCGAAAGAAATGACTAGGATGTAGAAGATTAAAATGAACTTATTTGTCTAGAATGCTTTTACTTCGACCATTCTTCTACTATTTATTTTCTGATATATAGCTCGCATTGTTGTCATGAAAATGAAGAAGACGTATGTGAGTAGAGACTGATAGAATACGATTTTTGATGTATTGTCTTACCGATTAGTGGATTATGTCCATTATCCACATACATACTCATAGTTACAAATATTAAGTGCAGGACAAAAACAATCTATGTGACTGATCATTTTTGTTCATGTGAAACTCGTCGGACAATTACTCTTTTTTGTTTTCCGTGGGCATTATTAAAATGTATTAATAAGGGTTTCGCAGAAATTCTGCTATCATGTGATGAGCATGGTTGATAAATATTAACAAAAAGCGTGGACTTACTCTACTACTGGAAGACTGTAACAAACTACGTTTTGAGTTTCTGAGAAGAAAATCTCCCGCTACAAAAAGCAGAACCAGAATTCAAAAACTAGACTCTGTTAACCTCTAGCCACATGAGATTTTGAATAGTATATAAAAGTGATGCGCGTGACTGTGTCATTTTTACTTCTTCCCCAATCAAAGCACATAATATTAATTTTTCAGACGTATAACTTGAGTCCTTTTAATTTAAATTATGCCTGATATGCAGCTTATTTTTGCCGATCAAACTATACCTCGATGTCTTCAAAAATCACTGTTTTTAGCGGGACCATCACCACGAGAAAAGGATGTCCATGACTGGCGACGTGATGCTTTAGAATTTCTTCAGCAAGCCCAATATGATGACTTAACTGTTTTTATACCTGTTCCTAAAGAACGTTTTTATCTTAAACATGAAAATGATCCTTCATGGACTTATGATAATCAAATAGAGTGGGAATGTCGATGTCGTCAAATTGCTGATGCAATTGTATTTTGGATACCTCGAGATATTCAAGGTGGAATGCCAGCCTACACAACAAATATTGAATTTGGTGAAGATTTACATTCAGGAAAAATTTTCTACGGAAGACCAGATAATGCTGAAAAATGTCGATATTTGGATAAACGTTTTGAAGAAATTAAACAGCCGGTTTTTACCACTCTCAAAAGTCTTTTAAAGTATGCTGTCGAACAACTTGGCAATGGTGCATATCGTGAGAATGGTGAAGTATTTGTTCCTTTTTTCATTTGGAATAGTTTACAATTTCAGTCATGGTATACGAATCTTAAACAAGCGGGAAATCGTTTGGATGAAGCGAAATTGGTACATCATGTAAAATTTAGACCCGGTTACGACAGTATTTTTTGCTTTATACTTTCGGTGAACATATGGGTTGAATTAGAACAACGCCATAAATCAGATGAATTTATTTTTGCTCGGAAAGATATTAGTACCATTGTGGCTTATTATCGAGATGTGGATGATCATGATGAGATTAAACTAATTTTGGTTAAAGAGTTTCGCAGTCCGGTGAATAATCACATTGGTTTTGTGTATGAATTACCTGGTGGAAGCTCTATGACAGCTGGTGATAATGATCCGCAAATGACTGCAAAACATGAGATGGAAGAAGAAACAGGTTTAACTGTTGATGATATTTCGCGTTTTCAATATGTTGGACAACGACAACTTGTTGCTACTTTATGTTCACATCAAGCACAAGTTTACAAACTTGAACTCAATCACCATGAATATCAAAAGCTTCTCGTGTATGCTCAAGATAAGAACGTCACGTTTGGTGTAAATGAAGATAGTGAAAAAACCTATATAGAAGTTGTTAGCTTATCTAATATTAAGAATACTCCTTTGGACTTTTCCATGTTGGGCATGATTTATCAAGCTCTTTATTGACGAAAATATGTTTCTTCATTTGTTTGTCTTAGCAAGTTGTACAACTTTTATTGAGATTATTGATGTAAGACTTGTTAATGAAACACTCCTGGTACTTACCCTTCCTCGAGATAAGTTATTTGCCTTTTTTTCTATTGCAATTATATACACTCTCACTAAGGTGTGTACGATTCAGGATATACTATAATGATTTTCAATAAATAAAAACCTGTTTCCACCGTAATCTCGTCTGATAAAATATTCTATCTTACGTGCACTTACTGCTTTCTTAAAAACATCATGTATTGCGTTCACGATGCCTCCGAAACTAGTGTGTAACTTAGAAAAACTATTTATTCGAGTATTCAATTTTTCTAATCTAGTCGACCTTTCAGAACTTTCTGCACAAAAGTTCAAAACTCGATGTATGCAGAAGGTAGTGTAAAACATTTCGAAATGAATTCTGAGAATTTTCAAATGAATATCAGTAGTTTATTTGGGAATCCTTTTCATCAGGATTCTATCTTACTACTATAATATACGAGACATTTGCAAACCATTTGTACTTTTTGAATATAGACATAGCCATGGTTATATCTCGTACAGTATGTGGTGAAACTGAACGAGTTTTGCATTGAATATTCCTCATAGTTTGACTAGTAAAATCATCCCTCGTGCGATTATTAACCTTGAGACATTAAAAAATAATAGTGCTGCGGTTTTACTCATTTTTAGTTTGAATACATCTAGTAGGAACAAATAAAATCAATTTTTTTCTATTAAAAATTCACTTTAAACAACTGTTTTTTTAGTTCAGTAGAAGCATGAGAAAACGGGCTACAAAACATGCTTTTTGACTTTACTATGTCGCTCTTCTTTTGCCTGTACAGGCAAAAGAAGACATGTTCAGTCACTTTATAAACTGTTTTTTAAAAGAGAACGGGAATGAAACTCTACTCAACTATCACCAAACGATAGTCTGAAGGTCGGGAAACAAAACTGCATAAAAAGAAAATCTAGAAAGCTTCCAGTTAAATTAAAAATCAGGTTCGGATCTGAAAACTAGCTGTAGATGTTCTGACACGTTCTTTTTGTTTTTGCTGCAGTTTGGCACTAGAGTGATCTTTTACTATAAATAGAACTTATGATGTAGGACAGATACATAAATTCTTAAACCCTTGACTCTTTGGCATTTAAGGAGAAAGTTCAAATGTTTCGATACGTTGTTTAACAGTAAAATCGACTTTTCTCGCTTAAGGCATGTCATAAATCGAAAGCTCTCTCAAATGAATTTCGATTTTTCATAAAAAAGTTGAGACATATGCCTTGGAAACGTCTCATATTTGTTTCTTATACTTTATCGCTTAATAGCACCAAAGTCATACAAAATGAAACGAAATAAAATATTAAATTGATATAGAACCCATAGAAACAGAATTTCAGTGTGTAACCGTGTGACATATGACAAATAGTACTAGATCTAGTATGTGTAACATTAATCCAGATGAGCTACCAAAGTTAAATCTATACACGTCTACACCATAATCAATCAACTGTCATCGATAGACAACAGACTAACAAAGCAGCAAGTTGTGTTTTGTTAATAATAATGAATTCTTCTTATGATTCAGCAATGTTTGTTGTTTTTGTTGTTATGTTGTTTTTGATGAATGTTAGTCAGATAATAAAAGACTATGTTTATCTTCTTGAACAAAAAACTTCCTCGAAGATCGATTGTAGATCTCAATTGTAATGTTGTGCATTTCTCTTACGATGTTCGAAGTTTTCAAAAATCTGCTAGAACACGTTAAAATTATTGACTTTTGAAATACCATAATTGATGACAGAAGGACACGATTCTTCAGTGTAGATATATTCTATTTATCATTTTTAGATCTAAACTAATAAGCATGATTCGCTTCATTTTGATCCAAAATCGAGCTGGAAAAACTCGTCTGGCCAAATGGTTTGTCAATTTTGAAGATGATGAAAAACAAAAGTTAATTGAAGAAGTTCATGCCATTGTCACTGTTCGAGATGCGAAACATACAAATTTTGTTGAAGTAGGTGACACGGTATAAAGAGATGAATGTTATTTATTTTTGAAAAAAACAGAAAATTTCTCGTTTTAGTTTCGAAATTTTAAAATTGTTTATCGACGTTATGCTGGTCTCTATTTTTGCATATGTGTAGATGTAACTGATAATAATTTAGCTTATTTGGAAGCTATTCATAATTTTGTTGAAGTATTAAATGAGTTTTTTCACAATGTATGCGAATTAGATCTTGTATTCAACTTTTATAAGGTAAGAAAGTGTTGATGAGTGTGTACGTATTTTAAACTATCATGAGAAAAAATTGTAGGCTCATTTCGTTATTGATAATAATCCCTATTTGGAATATTTTGTGTAAACTGATGTGTGTATGTGTGTTTTTTTCCTATTGTAGGTGTACAGTGTTGTCGATGAAATGTTTTTAGCTGGTGAAATACGTGAAACAAGTCAAATTAAAGTTCTCAAACAACTTACAACATTAACATCGCTTGAATGACACTAATATTATTAATAAAAGACAAACGATCGCTCTTCGAATTTTCTTCTTTTATATTGATTTTTTGCTGTCATTATCTCGTCGTAATAGATATCTATGTCAAATCAATCGCGCGATTGTATCTTCAATGTTAAAGTTTATCTCAGCGAAAAGAAAATGGTTTCGTAGTGGATTTCAGTAGTTAATTTATCATATTGTTGACAAGATATATGTAAAGCTAAATTAGTTACTTGTTTTAAGTTGTTAATCTTTGACAATAACGAAATATATTTTGAATAGATAGAGTTTATTCAAATGAACTAGTTATATTTGTGATATTTTTTGCTGTCATTTTAGTTTAATTATTCATACATTGATAAAATGAATATTTCGATAAAATAACATTTTCCTTCTCGTTTTATTGAATTTAAATTCATAATAATAAATAAAAAAACATATTTCATCTAAATTATGAGAATTCAAAGCATTAAGAATTATTTATTTTGATATATTGGAACAAGATATTTCATTGAATACCATTTTCTATTCTGGATGCGTTGAATGGTGAAAAAAGTCATCAAGTGATCAATCAATCATTCGATAACACTGAGCGTAGTCGATATAAATATATCTAATTCATTTCTACATTAAATGTTCACATATATTTGCAGCTGAACAAATTTTTTATCCATTATAATCTCAAAAATCAGAAATAAATATGATAAATTACAATGCTCATAATTAATTGCTAAAAAAAACATATTCAATTTATGTTTTCGAATAGAACAATTAGCCAAATAACAAATTAGATTTATTAACATTCACACGTGTATTTTAGGCATTGAATTATTAAAAAGAAAAAGAAATTCATCTCTGTTTGATTCGAGATTTTATAATACAGCATTTTATGATGTGAAAATGAGAGGTATTCTCTTTGTTAGGTAAGCAAATGGTTATTGATCTTGTGTTGTGTGTTGTGTGTTGTGTATCGTATTCAGAATCTTTTCTTTTCGTTGATAGATAGTAACGATGTGTTGTTATTTTTTTCAACGATAAACTTTCTTCCTATGTATAATATTTCTTGTACGATCTTTCTTATTAGTTAAATTTGATACATCTGTCTTAAATAATGCATATCCAATCGCTTATTGTTTTTAAGAAGAGATGCTTTTTGTATAATCAAGATTTTCATATAATACACGTTTTCGATAGTTTTCAGAGATAAATTTCTTCTGAAAATTTCATAAATTCTGTGAGTGACTGCTGACTTCGGAAGACAAATTTCATAAATAGACTTTTTTTTATTCTAGACATCGAACTAGAAATATTAATTCGTGTTTTTGTATCTTATTGTACTAATCTGTATCTTATTGACTGTTTTCGTTTTTAGTTGTATGTGGAGTAACTTCATTACTCTTTGTAATTCGATTGATGTGTCTGTAATTGTTTCGACGATAGAGTAAGAAACTGTATTAAGTTTTGAAAGCTCGAAGATAGACATTTGCATCTAAACTTGTTTCTTATTTATCACTTTTTTCGTCCCTCACACCCAGGCCCATGGCATGCCGGCAGATTTCTCCGGTTAACGAAGTTTGTTAGTAACGAATTTAGAAAAAAGCGGATGATATAGTAGTTAGGAATATGAAAGAAAATCATAGTCTATGATAATCGTCAGACGAGTTTGACATTTACAAAACGCTCAGTCATATGTGTTTCTTTGTTCTGTATCCGTGTGCATGGCTATCGCCTAAAATTTGTAACCATAGTCGTGGATGTGGGTAACAGGCATAACCGCAGATGTCTATCAGCATAGAGTTCATTACCTAGGTGTGGTGCACGTGGCTTGGAAAAACGTCATTTTACGTGTATCTTTGTTGCTGCGTGTGCTGTGTTTATTCTGTCTTCTGTTCTGATAGTAGTGCGGAATAACGTATGATCCAGAAACACAGATGTATTAACAGATAAATGAGTCAGAATCAGAAAGGAATAAGGTTCATAGAAAAAAACCTATGAAAATATCAAGAAAAATACTCATTTTATTTTCCTGAAAGTTTTGGACTTTTATCTAAAAATCTTGACAAAAAATTATTGTATTTCGAAGAACAATAAGATTGAAAAGGTCGAAATATGAAGTATAAAACTGCTACGAACATTATTGACTTCAACAGAAATCAATATAATTAATTATTTGATATTTTGACGTCTTCTCATGTCATCATCAGAAATAACCAACTGTATAGAAAACTTTTCCATCGTATATCAAAAAGCGAGAAAAATAGGAATATTTTGTCACATGGAAACATATGATATCATATAGGAAATTATTGTTTTAGAATCTCATTTCTTATATTCATCTTATTAGTAGATAAACAAAAATAGTGTATTTTCATTAGATTTTATTGGTTCACGGAGAAGAAAACAACATATACATTATTTTTAATTAATTGATTTAGCCTCCATATATCATTATACCATTTTAATTATGATAATTCAAGTTATTGTTATTGTTTTGGATTCGAAAATCTATCAATAAGAAATTAGTTTTTATCAGCATCTTATAGTTTGCTTTTTACGATCTAGAAATCAGGCTATCTGTCAAATATGAATTTATTTTAAGAAATATTTATGCATTTTTTAAGAATTCAGGACCAAGAGATTTTATTTTAGGTTTTTCTTTTCTTTTTTTTTAACATGTGTGGAGTTAACTATTATGACATCACTTATGATAGTCTAGTGAAAAAAATATTTCATCTTTGTAAATGAAAACTGACATTTGCCTGTTCTCTGTGAATCATTCAAACAAAAAGGAGAAATAAGAGGACAAGTAATACATATACGTAGACGATTGCCTGGAATGTTTTCTTCTCACTCGACTTGTAATCGGACGTTGTGTGAGAGAAATGTCCTATTATCTCGGCTTGATGATATTTTTTACACCCATTTCTGTTATTTCCATATAAAAGAAAAGACAAGGAAAGATCAAACATGAAAATACAATAGTTAAAAATTAATCACTATGTACTATATAAAATGAGAATATTTCAATTTATTATGTGGTAATGTAGGTTCATATTTTTTTCTCATATCTTTTCTTAGTCATAGTTTAACTAATAAATATGATTGATAGATAGTTTTCTTGTTTCGTCATTAGTCTAATTTATAATGAAATTGAAAAAAGAGAATAGACGTCTCTATGAAAAATATGAGAAATTATTTCTATTCCTATACTACGGTCACTATGTTTTTTGTGGAATTATTATCATCTCTCTAAGTATCTACCTGTTTTATAAAAAAATAACAATAATAAATTATTTTAAAACTATTGTTGACGAACTGATTTCAACTATGTTATTTATTTTAATTAAAAAAGTTTGTGAATTTAAAAAAACAAAATAGAATTTTTCAACGATAGTTTTTCGAAAACGATTAGAAATTGAATTTCTTTTTTCTAATACGTTGACGGAATAGATTTTTACTAACATCTTGTTTTTTCATGGGACAAATTTTTTCACTATATCCGACCTATAAAGTTAAAAATAAAAAGTATCTAAAATTCTTTTTTATAATGTACTAAATAGAAAATTTAATTATGTATATAATAAAGTCTAAAATAAGATTTACATTTCAAACTGTTTGTCTGAAGGCCGATACTTTCTTTACTGATTATGTATCAAAATGTGACAGACACAATACAATTGATCTATTAGAGATAATCAATCAACTCGTTTGAAGAAAAACGAACGATAGCACAATATGGTCTAAAGTCTAGTCTATATTACCATATAAATCAAAATATTTAATTTTCCCAGTGTCTTTTGATCTAGATATTTTATCTTGACACATAGCTATACCATCACCTGCTTTTATCTCATTTTCTTTTGATTTTTTTCATCCGAATAGCAAAATACTAAAACTTGTTTTTTCATGAGCTAGAAACAATGATTCAAATGTTATGAATAGAGGTGTCCATCATTATCATATAGTTTTGTCTTGAATGTACAAATACTCTGTTTTTTTTTATGATTTTTACAATAGCAGAAAAGCAAGAGAAAAAAGTGATCTAGTATTTGTGATGATGCAGGATGATTTTTTTTTCGTTTTTCGCCGTGTTAGAGATTATATTTCACTGTTTTTTCCTCTTGTTTTTAAATAAAGCTTTTGATAATTGTTCGACTATTCAGAAAGAAACAAATTTAATCTAATTTTTTTTCTCTATGATACATTTGTGTAGATGTTTTGTTTGTAAGAGGGAGAAAGAATGAACTTTTACGATTGACTATACTAATATTTATCTTAAACATGGTATTTATAAATAGTAACTTTGTGCAAAATAATCAAACTAATATTTATCAAAATAAAAGAATAAAACTGTTTGAAGGCTTATAGCCTCTTTCTCGGTCACTTAAACTTTTACCTGAACAAGTAATCAGTGTAAAACAGACAAGTGGAAAAAGTCACAATGTATGTTGAGATCCAGATAATGAATTAGATTTTGAGCATAAAAGACGTTGAATTTGAGTCAATAATTTTAGATTTTCCTTATATTATACATAATAAACGTCACGATGAAATAACAAGATATACATGAGTTCAATATTCTTCGTTGATATTTAGATCTGTTAGTCATTTCTTCGTTAACAGAATAGTTAAACATATTTTCTCATATTGACATTATCATACACTTCGAAGAGATTGTATCTATTCTTCTTCTGTTTTTATTTGTTGTTGTTTTTTGTGTGAACAAAGTGATTCGTGTGAATATGTATGTGTACAATTGAGTATAAAAGAGAAATTTGGCGTTACATATTTATCAGAGTAATTGAAAATACCATTGATAGTGTACACATTCGATTATATCAAACTGCACAGTTATGTCCATAATCGAATTCTTTTGATTTTAGAGAAAACAGAAAAGAGATTTTTCTTGTTTCTTTGTTCTATTGATAACAGTTTAGCGTGGTTTACATGCTCGTCATCTCTTCTATTTTTATAGTATTCTGTTTTTCAAAAGTGGAATCGGA